AGCCCTTGGAGCTGGGGGGGGTCCATCCCCGAAACCAGCCTGGATGGAGCGAGCTGAGGAGCTGCCGGACACTGATCCCCGGGGGGGGACAGAAGGGGAGACCCCCGGAGACCCCCGTGGAGGTGAGGAGCTGGGTTTGGGTGGCAGGAGCGGCTGAGCCCCCCCCCAGCGATGGGGGGGGGGGGCAAAGCGCTCTCGGCTTTGCTTTTACCCGCCGTCACCCGCCGTCACCCGCCGTGACGTGGTTTCCCTCCGAGAAATCCGACGTTGCTCTCGTTTGCGACCCGCAGCCGGATGCGCCGCCAAAAAAACGAACCCGAAGCGAGAAAACGCCGAGACGGGGGCGACCGAGCGCGGATTCACGGCGACGAAAGGGGAAGGGGAGATTTCGGGACGTTCTCGGCGAGGGGCAACTCCCAAAAGCGAAATGGGGCCGGGAGCAGATAAACTCATCCCTCGGGAAGGAAACCAAAAGAGCCTCAAAGAATCGAAATCCCAGGACAAAACCGCCGCCGGCAGGGAGAAGAAGTACGCGTGCGACGAGTGCGGACGGAGTTTCGGTCAGAGCTCCAACCTCATCGTCCATCGACGGATCCACACCGGAGAGAAACCTTATCAATGTCAGGAGTGCGGGAAGTGTTTCAGGCAGAGCTCCAACCTCATCGTCCACCAAAAAACCCACACGGGAGAAAAATTCTACGCGTGCCCCAAATGTCAAAAGCGTTTCCCAGATAGATTGCTGCTCCTCAGGCATAAAAGGATCCACCTCGGAGAAAAACCTTTTAAATGCCAGCGGTGCGGGAAAAGCTTCCTTCACCGGTCGCGGCTCCTTGCCCACGAGAAGGCGCACGGAGGAGAAGAGCTCTACCCATGTCCCGAGTGCGGGAAATGCTTCCAGGAAAAATCCAAATTCCTCCAACATCGTCGACGACACGTGGGGGAGCGACGCTATAAATGCTACGAGTGCGGGGAGGAGTTTGGGCAAAGTTCGGAGCTTAGCCTCCACCAGAGGATCCACGTGGAGGAGAAGCTCTACCAGTGCTCCACCTGCGAGAAGTGCTTCAAGGACCGGTCCACCCTCATCAGGCACGAGACGGTGCACACGGGAGAGAAACCCTACCAATGCCACGAGTGCGGGAAGAGATTTACCCGCAGCTCGGACATCGTCGTCCACCAGCGGACTCATACGGGAGAGAAACCCTTCCAGTGTCCCGAATGCGGGAAGAGTTTCAGTCACCGCTCCAATCTTTTCCGACACCAACGGATGCACACGGGGGAGAAGCCGTATAAGTGCGAAGAGTGCGGGAAGAGGTTTGGGCAAAGCTCCGAACTCATCGTCCATCAACGGACGCACACGGGGGAGAAGCCCTACCACTGCTCCGAGTGCGAGAAGTTCTTCAGGGGGAGGTCGACCCTTTTCAGACACGAGCGGTTGCACACCGGGCTCAAACCCTACCAGTGCAGCCAGTGCGGAAAAAGTTTCGGCCAAAGCGGGGACCTCATCGCCCATCAACGTTTCCATACGGGTGAAAAACCCTACCAGTGTTCCCAGTGCCGAAAATTTTTCAGCAACCGCTCCAGCCTGGTGCGGCATCAGCGGTTGCACGCCGGGGAGAAGCCCTACAAGTGCCACGAGTGCGGGAAGAGTTTTGGGCAAAGCTCGGACCTCATCGCCCATCACCGGACCCACACCGGGGAGAAGCCCTACCCTTGCCCGGTCTGCGGGAAGAGATT